TAATACAATTAGTTATTGGCATGATGATGTAAGTTTCATTTGTTCAGTTTATTAAAATGTTCTAATAACAGACTACTATATTAAAAATAAAAAATAATCATATAAATTAGTCAGATGCAAAGTAAGTAAGATAATGATTAACCAGACTGGTTAATTAACTGGCTTTGGCTCATCTCTAAAACAGGGATGTCATTTACTATCTTAAATGAATAGTGATGTTTCCCCTACTGTTCACAGTGGATAAAAAACTAAGATTGTGTGTGTGTGTATTAAAACAAGAAAAGAAACATGGTTTAAAGAAAGTTTCTAATAGACAGGTTCCTACTACATCTTAATAATAAAATATATTCTGTAGTAAATGTGAGAGACACCATGACATAATAGAGAATCAGCCTTGGATCCACCATTAGACTGTAACCTCTTTGAGGATAGGGACCATTTCATTTTTTCCTTTGTATCTCTAGCATCCAGCATAGTTCCTGGTACATAGTCAACTCTCAACCAATGTTTGTTGATTAATGGACTTGAAGGAAGTTAGTCAATGTTTTAATAGGAGACTGGTAGCTAGTTACTGTTTGCTTAAAACTACCACTAGTGAGCTAAGAATAAAGACTTAATCTCTTTCTATTCCATTTTGTACACAATGAATGTAAAAAAGAAAATCACATCTTTACTTGCTCTCTTTGCAGAACAGAATAAATAATTTCTGAGGAGTTGTGAGAAAATGAGTTCAGAACATGGCATGCCCAGCCTTTGAACATGTTTCCTAGACAAGTAGTATTCTCTTTTGGACTGAGCCCATTGTTTGATCAATCTCATGCATATTTCTTTTCCTATGAAAACCATCCTACAGAGCTGCCCACAATTGTCTCAAGGAAACTCAACCTTCCTCATTACACCTGCTTTTCACCATGCCCTCTTGGTGTCCTGTGGTGCTCACCACTTAATGAATAACACATAAGTATCTTTCTTTAGGCAAAGCAGTATTTTAGCCACAGAAGTCTGCCATGGGGGTTACTCCTGAAAAAGGTAATAGAATAAATATATGTAATTAGAAATGTGAATGCCTAGGGAGGGGAAGAAAAAAGAAAAGGGAAAAATTTGTAAGGAAAAAATAGTTTCAGTGTTTTCAGGTGCCTATTCTGGTCCCATTCTTAACCTTCGTTTTCATCCTGCACCTTTGCCCCTTCCTACTTCTCTGTCCTCCCTCCTCACTACCACCAAAAAGTTAAAAAATAAATCTGTCCCAGACTGTCACGTCCTTGAACATGATTTAGTGCATATAGAAAGAGGGAAGCACAGCCAGGTGATTTGACTCTTTGCAGTACACAAGATCAGAGCTTTTTAAAGCCAGATGGTTGGAAGGCACTTCTGAGGAAATGCAGTCAGCCTCCAGGATAATTTAGTGCTGAGGTCTCTAAACTGAGCAAATCGAATAAAGCTTCCATATTTGAGACTAAAAGAATTCTGGTGGTAATGGCAAGTGCTGATCTTGGGTCCTAGATAGATTTGGGGGCCTCTAAGTCCAGGTAGTCCAACTTCATAATTTTGCAGATAAGAAAACAGAGGCCCAGAGAACAAACCTGACACCAATCCCATCTCTCTTTCTGTTGGCTTTCAACTGCAAATCAGAAGGTGTTGTATGAATGCAGAGTAGAAACAGATTGATCTTTCCAGCAAATATAACTTTGCAATGCCAAATGGTGGCATGCTAAAAATAGCATTTAATTTAAAGGGTAAGGACTGTCTCTGGTCTTCTAGGATTCCATAAGACCTGAGGATCTGAAGGCCTCCAGGACTTGGGGGATTTTGAAATTTCCCCTTCACGCACACCAAAGTTAGAGGCTGGCAGTTGGTACAGCAGTGCTGATGCAGCAACGAAGGTTTCATCATTTCAGCTGATGCATGGTTTGGGGAGGTAGCATGTTCTTCCCTCTTACAGTTCATAATATCATCCCCTCCCCGCCTTGCTGCCCCACCACCTTCATAGAGGAAGCAGTTCTTACAAGCAGTACCAATGGCTGAAGTCTCATGCTATCGTGGAGGACCAGGGAAGTTCCTTACATAAATCTGTCAACCAGAGAGTTATCACATAAAACTATACCTCCTCCATACAGTTGGCATAATATATCCTTTTGAACTTCAGCCCTTTCTGTCTAAATATGTAAACATGAATTGTTACATGCATAATGTGTAATTTTATTGGTCTAGGGAAGTCCTGGGGGGAGGAAACTCCCTTTGCCAATGCAGGGTGGCAGCTTCTCGACAACTTGTAGCTTTAGAGAATTACCTGGGGGAAAGGAAGAAAGAGAATAAGCATTTATTAAGTACTTACTATGTGCCGGTACCGTACTAAGTATTTTACAAATATTTCATTTGATCCTCCATTTGATTTGAACCTGGAATATTCAGAGGTGAAATGACTTACCCAGAGTCACACAGCCCGTATGTGTCAGAGATGGGTCTTGAATCCGGGTCTTGAATCCAGGTCTTCCTGGCTCTAAATCCAACTCTCTATCCAATTTACTGTGTATGCACACTCATGCGCTCTCACACTCTCTCTCTCTCTCACACACACACACACACACACACACACACACACACAGAGTTCAGTTCAAGAAACCTGCATTAAGTGCCTACTATGTGCCAGGCATTGTGCTAAGTACTGAGGATACAAAAAGAGGCAAAAGATGGTCCCTGGCCTCAAGGAGCTTACAATCTAATGGATTATAATAGATAAACACACATCCTGCTAGATGGTGTATTTCACGATATAAATATTGTAGAAAGGCAGAAGGAGGGCTGAGGAACGAAATTGAATCAAATTTAAAACATTTATTTTGGAGTATTGAATCCCAAATTGAGTTAAGTGCAGGAATCTCACAGTGTTTTTATTTCTGTCTTGCACAGCTGCACCTCTCATCTAAGGTCTTATCTGTTAGAATTTTATGTAATTTAATGGAAGAAATGAGGTTTTCAGGTAAATTCTGTAATTTCAAGGGAACTTGGGAATAATTTAGGTCATGTACTCATCTCATTTTTTAAAAAAGGATCTTAGACTTACTATTGTACCATTACTGAATTAAAATTACATTTCTCTTACCCAACTCTCCTGTTACTCCAGCGTCATGTTTTTCTTACTATTTAAATGTTGGAAAATTTTCTCATTGCTTAAAACACTGAAAATTCTGTGTGGATTCATCTGAAAAGAAAAGCAGTATGTGAAACAAACAATAATTTGGAACAGGTGTTTTTAACTTTTTTTTTTTTTTGCATGATGGACCCTTTGGCAATCTAGTTAAGTCTATGGACCCTTCTTCATAATAAGTGCATAAAGTACAATTGATTACAAAGAAAACCAACCATATTGATACAGAGTTATCAAAATATTAAGAAAAGAAATTAATGGACCTCAGGTTAAGAATCCCTGTTTTAGAACTACCATGGTGGGGAGGGGGCACAGGGGAGGGGGAGCAGCTAGGTGGTGAAGTAGATAGAGCACCAGCCCTGGAGTCAGGAGGACCCAAGTTCAAATCCGGCCTCAGACACATAACACTTACTAGCTGTGTAATTCTGGGCAAGTCACTTAACCCCAATTGCCTCGTCCCCCCCCCCAAAAAAACTACTATGAATGGAAAAAAATCTCCCAATCTCATAAAACATCATGTCTTCCTCCCAAGGATAATAATAATAAGAAAAAGGAATGACATTTGAGATTCACGGAAGGCTTTGCTATCATGAAAAACCTTGGATCTATATTCTAGTCATAGCAACTGGCTTTAACTGATGGATGGAGTCTCCTCCTACTAGAATTGTAGTAGAAGGTGAGGTAGCAAACTTCTCTCCCACCCCTAGCAATTCAACTGGGCCTGGTTAATGACACTATAAACTGACTTTTTGCTTTTCTAATTCCATTGTCCATTCTACTGCATTAGCCTCAATTACACAGAACATTGTCCTTCCTCCTTTAGCTGGCAGCATAGGTAACCAAAATGATGGCAGAACTACTTCCCCTATCTCCATCCTAAAGGGTAGACCAGGGATGTGGGCCTTGAGGCCTCAGGTTCCCCACCCCTAGGGTAGACTCTTTCTCTTCCATTCCCACCTTCTCCTCCCCCACAAACAACTTGAGGTGAGAAGCCTAATGAGCCAGAGTGAGAAACAGATCTGAATTCTACATGCACCCATAATATGGCAATTAACTGTGCTAAAGAAAGATGATTCCTCTTAGATATTTGCATTTTCCACTATTGAGGATGGTACCCTCATAGACTTAATCCCCTAACTTGAAGAAAGCTCAGGGATGTTTTCTTCACCTTCAGCAGCTGTGGAATCAGTCTTTATTTGTAGATACTGAAACATCAAATAACAAAAATAGATGGTTTCACTGTTTTCTTTTAAGCCAGTGATTGCATGAGGTTGGGTAAAAGCTCAGAAAGGGTTAATGTAACTTAGCAAAGGGTGGTTGCATTCCTAACATTCTGAAGCTGTAGGAGAGACTATCTACAGAAAATCAAGTGAGTTCTCGTTACCATTTATTTTTGTTTAAAGAACAGTTGTACTTCTTTGAGTGTTTATTTAATTGCCTATTTATCATCCATGAAGAATCATAAAGAAGATGATTTTAGTGCTGGGCAATGCGGTGAACACTGAGTTTCTTGATACTCAGTGGAGTACCATGCCTGTGGTCCTTATATCTTTGGGCTACATACTGTTGGGTCAGACTAGAAAATGTTATTTCTGTAATATTTCAACACCTCTATTACTAGCAATGCTTTGAGAGGGGGCAAGAATTGGGGTGGTAGGAAGTTTTAAAATTACCAGAAATCTGCCCCCCCTAACCAAACTGTTTGTAAGGGCATGGATTGAACACGTTAGGCACTTCGGAACCTGAACGAAATATGATAAATTTGTTTTCTAGGTTTTTGCCGCCTCTCAGTTTTTAAGAGCAAAGTAATGAAATCAACCCTGCCTTTTGTTCCCCTTTCCTTTTTTTGTAGACAAAACCTGTCGCGTTTGCAGTGCGGACCAATGTCAGCTACAGCGCAGCCCATGAGGATGACGTCCCGGTACCAGGCATGGCCATCTCGTTCGAAGCAAAAGATTTTCTGCATGTTAAGGAAGTAAGGGAAAATGCCTTCGTTTGAAATTACTTTTTCAATCTAGCCTGTTTTGGTTTTGTGGATTTTTTTTTAGATGCTTAACTCAGAAATCTTTATATCTTTCACATGCCATGCCTATAATTGTAATCATTCAGAGAGTGCTTTAACGATCATGAATGGGCCTTATCCAGACCCCAAGTCCACCTCTTCTGGACTTGGCTTCCAGTGTGTTGCTGTCACCAATAGGTAGGTCTCTGCATTCCAATGCCAGAATAATATAAATTCCTCACCAAAGACATTAGAAATTAATAAATAGTAGGGCATAGGGGTTGATCCCTTTTAAAACCCTGCTGAATTTTCACCATCAGGTTAATAAAGTTCTACAATATGGAATTTAGGGAAAGTTACTCCTAATTAAAACTTTCCTTTGACAGTTATTAATATTTGTTAAATATACATTACTCAGAACAGAGGCAAGATAGAGAACTCCTTTGAGTCAGGAAGACCTAGGCTCAAGTCCCAATGACACATACAGGTTGTGTATCTCTGGGCAAATGTTCCAAGCAACTTCCTTTCTGTATGTCTTTCTGTCTTTCCAATGGGGTTAAGTAACTTGCTCAGGGTCGCACAGCCAGTAAGTGTCAAGTGTCTCAGGGCAGATTTGAACTCAGGTCCTCCTGACTCCAGGGCCAGTGCTGTATCCACTGTGCCACCTAGCTGCCCCTCCAAGCAACTTTCTAAGACTATATGTTATGAAGAAGTTTGATAAAGGGAGTTCCTCTCCTATTACCTACCATTAAAAATCATAGGCCCAGCTCCCATCCTAATCTAAAAAAAGAACATTATCCTGTGTCCTGAGATTGGGTTACTATACAGTTTTCTATGCAGCCTTGCTGTAACTAAAGGAAATCACCATTTGAGCATATTCTTTGGAGGAACTCCCGTCTCATAGATATATCATATGCATGACATACATGGATATAATCTAGAGATAGGAAGACACTGTTGGACAAAACTGTGAACGTTTCTAATGAAAAGAGTGAGAGAAGTTTAGGGCCCATCATTTCATTAACTTTTAGAAAGAGATGTGAATTATAGGTTAGGAAGGAAAGACTGAGAGAATGCTCAAGGAAGAGGGTGATGAGATGTGTTGAATCTGATTTTAAAAGAGGGAGTTAAAGGGATTTAATCACAGAGAAGCTCCTCCAGATGATTAAAGGCCCAGAGAGAAGGATCTATTTTTCCACCATGGAAAGACAGAGGGGAGGAGTAAAACGGATGCTGTTATTTAGAGATGTTTGAAAGGGGGATCAAGAGAACTTCCCCTCCAACTATTTTGGAGATTTTAAGGAATAGTAGAAAATTTTTCTGAGTGCTTAGGAAAATCTAAGCAAAAAGTACAATAATTCCTCACCATTCACTCGTGGTATTTTGGGAGCTAGAGGTAATAGCAAAAACTTTACTATTCAGAGTACATAGAATCATGCATGTTAGGGTGAAAATGGAGCTTGGAAATTCTCTAAGCTAGAGGCTCTTAATCTTTTTTTGTCATGGACCTCCTTGGTAGTCTAGTGAAGCCTATGGACCCCTTCTCAGAATAGCATATTTAAACAGTTCAAAGAAATGTTACATTTCAGTTAAAGGTTAGTTAAAAACAAAGAAGCTATTTTTTTCCCATTCAAGTTGATAAATCCCCTGAAATATATCCACAGACCTATTGGGGATCAAAGACCCCAGGTTGAGAACCTCAGCTCTCATCCAGCCCTCTCATTTACAAATGGGAAAATCAATATTTCCAGCCTTTTGTAAGAGCATATAACTGGTTAGTGGCAGAACTCGAAGTAGAACTCACACGTATTGATTCTCAGGCCCTGTTCACTTCATGCCTGTATAGCTTGCATTTTCCTGAACAGTAAGGATTTTAAATATTTTGCATTATTTCCCCGACAAACCATGTGTGCTGCTCACCAATGACCCTTCCCCCAATGCTTTGTCAGAACGTGTGCCTCGAATTTTGGTCTGGAAAAACACAATCACCATATATAACGAATACATCCCAAAAGGGAAATGGTCCACAACAAAAACCACCATTCATTAATTCACCTCCTAAGTAAAACACGTTGTGTAAAGCACCAAGGGAAGCGCAAAGATAATTTAGACATGGGCTTTGACCTCATGGTCTTTATATTTCACGTAGAACCTTTAGTTCATCTCCAAAAGATTCCAGTCCTGCTTGTGTGCTTTGAGAAGTACTGCTGTGTTGTAGAAAGCACCACTGAGTGGGAGATAAATGTCCTAGCTTTGAGTCCTAACTGTATCCAATGGTCTTATTAGGAAAACCCCACTTATCTGTAAAATGAGGGGATTGATCTAGAGAAATGATTTCTAAGATCCCTTCCCTACTAAAGTTTATAGGCACATAAAATTATAGATCAGAGCATCATAGATCTGGAATTAGGTGGGACCTTAGAAACCATCAGCTCCAACTCTCTCATTTTACAGATGAGGAAACTGAGGCACAAAGGGGTTAAATGGCTACACATCAGTGTTTGAGGCAGGATTTGAACCTGTGTTTCCCTGATTTCAGGGCCAGTGTCCTATCCAAAATATCCACTTCTTGTAACCACAAGGTATTATTTGACTGAGTTATATCCAGTCAAGAATGTTGTTCATTTCTATTTTATTAAAAAAGTTGTGCCCTGTTCGAGGCATTTACAGGCATCGTCAGTAGCAGAACTAGAGCTGGGTCTGGAGAACAAGAGAGCAGTAAAGCATTAACCCTTTGGTAGGATGGCAAGAACTAAGAATTTGAAACTTTGAATGCTGAACATATGAATCTGAGGGCATGACCTACTTTTTGTATTTTAAACTTTTTAAGAGATTTGTAGTGATAACTTTATACAACTTAAAAGCATGCATGCAAAAAGTAAGCTTCATAAAGAAATCTGAACATTTTTGCACAATAACTTTGTAATGCATTTTTGTATTTTTTCTATCTTCAGAAATTTAACAATGACTGGTGGATAGGGCGGTTGGTAAAAGAAGGCTGTGAAATAGGATTCATCCCAAGTCCGGTTAAACTAGAAAACATGAGGCTACAGCACGAGCAGAGGGCAAAGCAAGGAAAATTCTACTCCAGGTACAAAAAGAAAAAAAAAGTTTGTGTGAAAATGACTTGTTGCTTTGATAACACTGACTTTGTAATCTCCAGTTATTTGCTGTATTATGAATGCTATATGAAATAGTCAATGGTCAATCAATAAGGATTTCTTAAGTGTCTGCTGTGTGCCAGGCACCTTGCTAAGCACTGGGGATACAAAGGAAAACAAAAGACAGTCCTTGCTTTCATGCAGTTCACAGTCTGATAGGAGAAGACAACACATAAAAAGAAGCTGAAAAGGTAAGAGGGAAGGGTACCCAGAATGAGGTTATGATGAAGACCTATAGCTACAGCCAGGAAATGATGAGATGGCTGTGCTGGGCTCCTTCCTTAAATGGAGCATCTGGGGAGGAGCTCTCCAAGGTCCACCTTCAACCCTCTCCACTCAGAGGGAGGCAGAAGTGCCAGGACCAGGGGGACTAAGAAGGTATGAGTTTCAGAACTGATAAATCTTGCAGGAATATGAGTTCCTAGAAACAATAATGAAGTCAGGAGATCATTACACTGAGAGTGATATGACCTCATGTTTTTATTGTAATACTTCTGTCTAGTAATACATCCACTCACTGCATCTGGCTTTGTCAACCAACTTGGGAAAGAATCATCTTCAAAACCAAAAAGTGCATTCATACAGTCCAGAAATTCAGAGTTGAAGTTTACTAGGAGTATTGTCTGACTCTAAAATCTGAGGGCCTCAATTTTTCAGGACATCCAATAAAAGCAACCCAGAAAACTGCAGCTATACCCTTTGTAAAGAGAATCAGAGAAAGAAACATGCAACTAAGAAATAAAATGCAAAGAATATCTTTCTTTCATTTTCTCAGAAACTCAATTTTTAGCTCTATATATGAAATATTTAGTGGAAAGTCAGACTTTAAGTAAATTGAAATGAGTCTTCCTGATGTGAGCAATACTTTTGCAGTCATAATCCTTTAATTGGATCCCTAAATGATTCCCTAAGTTGTGGTTCCCTTACCAATACCCTAGTACTATTGTCCTAACCAAACCCCTAACTCAGGGGTGGGAACCTGCAGCCTCAATGGCCATGTGTGGCATTCTAAGTCCTCAAGTGCGGTCGTTTAACTGAATCCAAACTTCACAAAGGAAAAATTTTTATTAAGGGAATTCTTTTGATTAAAGGAATTCTTAACAAAATCCTTGAGAGTTGAGGGTGCTGGTTCTGGTGTCACAAAATCTGGGTTCATATCCTTGTTCTAATGGTCCTTGATGTATAACCATGGGCAACCTCTCAGAGTCTCAATATCCTGTGTGGTAGAATAAGGGTAGTGATACTTAGAAGGTACTAAGGTCAATCAACAAGCATTTATTATGATACTCTTACTATGTTTCAGGCCTGACTTTATCTCGTGGTCTAGTTGGGGAGGGAGATTGTGGAACACAGCATACAAATAACTATGTACAAACAAGATATATACAGAATGATTTGGTAATAATCACCGAAGGAAGGCACTAGGGTTACCAGGAAAGGTTTCTTGTAGAAAATGAGACATTATTGGGGGATTTGAATGAAGCAAGAAGACAGAGATGAAGAGGGAGAGAGTTCCAGACATGAGGGACAGCCAGTGAAAATGCAAGAAGTCAGGAGATGGAGTGTTGTATGCAAGAAACAATATGGAGGCCAGTATCACTGGCTCACAGACTATATGGAGGAGAGTAAAGATTAAGAAAAATGGAAAAGTAAGTTGGAAAGGGCCAGGTTGTGAAGGGCTTTAAAAACTAAACAGAAGAGTTTATATTTGATGGACATGATGAGGAGTCACTGGTATAGTAAATGAGCAATATGTTTGGAGTCAAAAATGAAATATAAATTCCATTGGTTTTGACACTTGCTCCCCATGTGACCTTGGAAAAATCAGCCTCAGCTTCCTCATTTTTTTTTTTGGCAAGGCAATCAGGGTTAAGTGACTTGCCCAGGGTCACACAGCTAGTATCAAGTGCCTGAGGCCAGATTTGAACTCCAGTCCTCCTGACTCCAGGGCCAGTGCTGTATCCACTGCACCACCTAGCTGCCCCTCAGGTTCCTCATCTTTAAAATGAGGAGATTGGATTAGATGATATCCAAGGTCCCTTCCAGGTCCCTGTATGTGAACCTTTAAGTATGCCTTAAGAACCTTCAAGTCTCTACATACTAATCTATTTGGTAAGTGCACCTATTCACATTACTTTAGATTAGCCCTAAACTAGTATAAACAAGACTGTCACTGGGTAAGCCTTATGTTTTTTGGAAGGTTTAGTCCCTTCTACATGGCCTTCAACAGTGATGCCTGGAAGGTTTTTCTACGTGAAGCACATCTCCTGTACTTGAGCTTTAGCATAAAGTGTAGGTTCCCAAAGTGGGTGATACTGCCCCATAGGGGGACACTGGACCAGTCCAGGGGGGTGGTAGAAGCCTTGGGTGCAACTGGGGGGCATTGAGTAAAAATAAAGGGGCAGTGAACGCATAAGGAAAGAAGAGAAGAGAAGAAAGTTTTGAAAAGTCGTTCGTACATGTTTTATCTGTTGTGTAACAGAGTTAAAGTCATATTGATTACATTATTTTCTGAATAAACACACAAAATGCAAGTTAGAACCAATCAGTGGTCAAATCTGCCAACAGATCTTAACAAGCAAGTGTTGGCAGATTAGTGTGTCACATATTGTCGGGAAGTCCAGCATGCATTGGCAGAAATATGTGCATGTAGTGACTTGTTTACAATACGATACTATATGGTTACATGACATAACATTGCATCATCAAAATTTCATTGCAAGAAAAACCCCCACAAATTTACAAGAAATAATTGAATTTAAGATGCTTCATTTAAAAAAAATTTTATATTTTTTGATATGACACAAATTAAAAAAAAAAAAAACATTAAAGAGCTAAAGAAAGTAGATTTCCAGAGGATCACTGAGTAATTTTTTTTTGAAAGGGGACAGTAGGCCAGATAAGTTTGGGAACCTCTGGCATAAAGTATGAGAAAGTATGTTTGTTTGGGAGGTTTAGCTATTAAGCTCTATACATCTTAAATTGTGTTTAACTAATAAATACAGTCAAAATTCAGTGATAAGCTCATTGTTGTTAATTAAATAAGTCACTATTAGAAGAAGTACCAAAAATCACAACAAATAGGTATAAGAATCGGGGTACATTTAAAAGGCTGGAAATTTTTTCAAGATTAGCATTGAAGAACAATCTGGCATTCTAAATAAATTAACTTGTTGAAACATTTGTTATAGCTTTCTATTTTTTCTAATATTCTATTGGTATTTGAAATAAAAAAGAATGTGACACAAATGCACTTTCTAGATTTGAAACTATACTATATACTGTGTGAGAGGAGAAAGAGAGGGAGAAAGGGAGAGGGAGAAGGAGGAGTGTGGTTTTTTTATGCTTTAGTCCTGTTAATGATGTGTCCTTGCATCAGTTCCAGAAATTGCTGCCGCAAATATAATTTTTTAATAACTTGCTACATTTTATGTGGTGCTCCAGGTCTTGGTAAATGCCTTTAAGTATCCCTTAAGAGCCTTCTAGAGATTTAGGGCCTTCTATTAATCCCCTCAATAAAGAAACACATCTTTTAAAAAGCAATAAAAAGTCATTGTACAATAACTCAGCCCACTAAAGTTTCTATACTGCAGGTTGCCTTTTTTATCTGTATATTTAGGAATAAGTAAATATGACCTTTTGATAAGTGGACTTAGTAACATAGCTTACATCTCAGGCCTAACTTCTTTACTTCTGCTTAAAACTGTGGTACTAAGTACCAGGTCATAGAAATACCTTTACCTAAGTCTCATGTACCTAATTAAGATTTGAGGATTAAATATTCTTTTTGCCAACATTCTTAATCCTAGAAATGGCCAATTAGAGTTTTTAAAAAATAGATGAAGTATCCAGTTATTTATGCTCATTTGCCCCAGAATCTTTCCACTGGCCACAATGAGTACTCTGTTATACTTGAAAGTCTAGGCATTTAGGATTGTACAATCATCAAATTGCCTCTAATCAAAATCCTAATAGTTGGATATTTCCTTAACATAGGATTGTCTAAATACAGGATTTAGGGCTAGAAAAGGACCTTAGAGATAGTTCATTCCAATCTGTATCATTTTGCAGATAAGGGAATACAGAATAGTTAAGTAACTTGCCCCAGGTCACAGAAGTACAGAGTAGCAGAGCCAAGATTTTCATGGAGACTCTCTGACCTTCAGATCCTATGTACTTTCCATTTCACCATGCTGTCCACTTAGGGTCATATCATTAGTGTTATCAGGATCTTAGAGGTTATCTCAGTTAATCACTTTATTTTTTGCAGATGGGGAATGTAAAGCCCAGGGCAGTTATATGACTTGACAAAGGTCACAGAGCCAGTAATTAGCAGAGCTAGGATTTGAATCCAGGTCCTCTCATTAAATCCAGCACTTTCCATACAGGATTAGATAAAGATCCTAGCCTTGCCTCATAGCTAAATAATGGAAGAACCTTGTAATGTGTTTCTTAGTGAGATTTTTGAAGAATAGCAAGGTTTAGCATTCGCAAATTCACTTTCAACTTTTTTGGGCATTCAGCATTGTCCACATAATAAAGTTAAGAATGGTAAAGTACGGGGATAGAAGCCAAGCAAGAAAGAAGGACTAATTTCATGCTTTTAGCCTTCTAGCTGTACCTTTTGCCTTTGACGGCTCCTGAAGACAAATTCCATGTTCAATGTCCAGCAATGTCTATAACTGGGGTTTTTTTTTTTAAATGAACCTGAAGGTTGGCCAAATAGTACCCTTCTATTCTCTCAGAACCTTTAAAAAAATTAAACGTAAATGTGAAAAGAGAGACTACCATATTGCCGAATTAGTGATATTGTTGATATGCATTCTTCCTCCAGGGATGCAGATTGCAGCCCATCCATACCTACTCTCTCAAGGCAGAAGCCTTATCCACATCTTTTCATATGTCCTCTACAGGGATCCATCTAGCATGTTGGTGTAGTTCATAGTTCACTATGGAGCATGCAGTTTCCGTTGGCCACGTCTTACTCTTTCTGTTTGACAGTCAAACTCCTTTTCTGGTCGTAGATCTCTTGAGTAACCTTTTATGATGCCTTCCCTGCTCAATTCTTCATTAGTAGCTTGTGGCAGCCTACTCATGCCCACCATGAGACTCTGTGTTGCCCTTTGGGTGACCCTCCACTGGCATTCTTCAGCAGCTGTACTGTTCTGTGACTCATAGCCACAGTGCGTCACTGGAAGAACATGGCTGTCAAAAAGATGGCCTCTTGTATCAGGGAGAAGCTTGGGTCATTAAAAGCATTCCACATTTTCCCAAAAGCAAGCTCTCCTGATCTACTCCTGTTCAATAACTGATAAAAAAAAAAACTCCCCTGAGCAATCACCATTTGCCTATTTGTAGACCAGATTAATTTAAAACATTGCCATTAATAAATGATTGAAATATGCCAGTTCTGTGATGAACTGCAACTTTCATAGTGACTTCCTTTTTTTCTTTATTCCAGTAAATCAGGAGGAAATTCATCATCCAGTTTGGGTGACATAGTACCTAGTTCCAGAAAATCTACACCTCCATCATCTGGTAAGTAGGTGTTGGGTTGAACAACTTGATAATGGATTCAACCCTTTTTTTTTTGAGGACTTAACCTTATTTTATGCTTTAATTTGCACTGAATCTCTGTGTTGGAATGCCAGTAACTTTTAAGATGAGATGTAGATTTAAACCTTTCCTACTCATCTCCACCCCCTGGCTTCCTTCAAATATCACCTGAAGTCCTATCTTCTAGATAGAAAAGAAGCTTTTCCCAGTCCTCTTTAATCTCAGTGCCTTTCCTCTAAGACTATCCCGGATTTGTACTGGATGTATCTTGTTTTGTGCATAGTTATTTGTGTTGTCCCCCCCCATTAGACTGTGAGCTCCTTGAGAACAGAGACTGATTTTTGCATTTCCTTTTATCTCTAGCATTTAGTAAGTGCTTAATAAATGCTGACTGATGGGTTTACTGATGAGAAACAGCATTGTTCTTGTGAAAATATGTAAGGGAAAGTACATGGGATGGGAGAAGTGACTGCTAATATACAAATATAACAGAAAAAAAAAAAAAGACTGAGGAGTCAGTAAATAAGCTTACCATAACTCACTGTAGTGATCTAGGACCTTTAGCTCAATGAGTTAAATCTAATGGGAGTCCAAAGCTTTAAATTAAGTCATTGTTAGACTTTAAGCATTACTTAAAAGAAGAAGAAAAAAAAACCACAACCAGAGACTACATCATTTAAACCTGCCTGTCTGGTCAGAAATGTTTTTGATTGTTCACAAGGAACCAAGAGTAGCGTGGGTGGCTTAGCCCAAGCTATCATCACTTCTATAAAAACAACTCATCAAATATGAAGGATATTTACTGAAAAAGCTAAAAATTGGAAGCAGAAATAGAATAGAACATGGAGACATCTACTGTACTTGTCACTGACCTGAATCTCCTGTAACAGTAAGCCCACGTGTATTAAGCACTCAGTACAGACCGCTGTCCTTGGTGCTGTAGATCAGTGCAAAAGAAGGAGCTTGCAATCTAATTGAAGAAATTGGACAAACAAAACTACACTAAAATCATGGAGAATGGCACAGGAACAGGTAGTTCAGAGACACGTCCACTAGTGAGAAGGATAAAGGTTTTCAGAGAGGATAAGCTAGTTAAAAAATGTTTGATGGAAGAAACTATTCTCTTGAGCTTGGAAGGAAGGAAAGAAGTGAGAGTAGAGGTGTGGTGGCTGGGAAATAAAAGACATCTTCACAGGTGTAAGAAAAAGTAGACTTATTTCCTTAGCTATCACTGTGAGTACAATCTAGGGTGGAACATGCTGTGATATAAATGGAAAACAACCTTTTGGTGAAACACTTTAAAGACTATTAATCTAAGAGAGCCAGTAAGATCATGAAAAAAGATGGGCAAAATAATTCTTAAGATTCTGAGTATTATATGTAGGACAAATTGGTGGTGAAAATAGGTTGAGAACAGGGAGTCTAGCAACAATGTGGAAATACTAAGCAGGTTAATGAAATTATACAATTGAGTAAACTTGAGTAACCATTATGTCCTAAGAATAGTCTTCCCAAACAACTCCATTGACAACATCTCGATTCTGAAAGAGAAGCTTTATATTTTTGTCATAGAACCATAGTGATATAATTCTTACAGCACTGTGACATGATTTTATATCCCTCCTCCATTAACATTCAAGATTTTACTACCAGCTCTTTTCTGAAATTTTGTCTCCCATGAATGATGCTACTCTCCTGTCTCACATACTATTCTTTTGCTCAAGTTGTAAGGAGTAGGCAAAGGAAATTCTATTCTGGATGTGATTCTGGCTAATGAGAAGTGGCCAATGAGGTATAATTGATGAAACCCTGGAGGTAAGTGACCACTCCATCTTAGAATTTGTGATGGAGTAGGATAGGAAAGGCGGGCATAATATGACCTGTATTTTCAATTTTAGGAGAAGACTGCTCAATGGGTTGACCCTCATGACCAAAAATTCTGAAAGGAAGGCCAGCTTAGGAGATTCGGGAAGCTCTGAAGTCACAAAGAAATGAGGCAGAGAAGGGGAAGTTGCCTAAAGAAAAAAATGTGGATATGCAGAGCAAACTCATTAACCAACATAGATTTTTTAGAAGATGTGTATAGAAATTATGAAAACAAGGGCAGTTAATGAAGTATGAATATAAAAGTGTGGCATGGTGCTGTAAAAATTGTATCAGTATGTCCTTTTTTATCTTAACTTTTCTTTTTTAAATTAAATTAATATTTTTAAAGAAAAATGTATTTTCTCTCCCTTTCACTTTTTCCCTCTTCGGGAAAAAAGAAAGAAAACCATAACTCCTTGTAACAAATACACATGGTCAAGCAAAGAATGGGCTAAAACTAGCAAAGGCTATTTTTTTTAATATGAAGATCTCTAAGGGACTGAATGCCCAGTATGTCAACATTTATGATTTAGTAGCCAAAAAAAGGGGTAGAGCAATGTCAAGAGGCATTGAAAGAGGCTGGGATTGATCCTACTGTTCTTTGCCCCACTCAGGCTACATCAGAAGTGTCATGTTCAGTTCTGGGAATCACCTTTTATTTTTTTTTTATTTTTTTGTGGGACAATTGGGGTTAAGTGACTTGCCCAGAGTCACACAGAGTCAGACACAGTTATGTGTCTGAGGGTCCTCAGACTTGAACTTGGGTCCTTCTGACTTCAGGGCTGGTGCTCTATGCACTGCACCACCTAGCTGCCCCGGGGCATCACCTTTTAGTAGAGATGCTGATAAGCAGAAGGGAAAATGGCATGGTGAAGATCATACCATATAAGATTTTGTTGAAGGAAGTAATGATGAAGATGAGACGAGAAGACTCAGGGGAGAGATGATATGTTATGCTATCATTCTGTAGTTCAGTATTCCAATTGCTAAGCATCCTTAATCCTTCTCACTACATCTCCAGATTTGTTCAATTAGGGTTAGCCATTCTATTCTTTCTACTCTGCTCTAAGAAAGTGCTCCATAGGAGAGGGAAGGTTAAATCTCTTAGCCACGTTCAGAGAAAAACACATCAGTATCAAGCCTTTAGAATTTATTATTACTGTTTCCAAATGAACCCAAGTGTTCTCCTACACAAGAGCTGTATGAGCAATATTAGCAAAGAATTAAGCTCCAACAAATAAATTTGAAACTTCTTTTTTCAGGATCTAGGTTCCATGTAAAGGGATAAAAAAAATCACATTTAATTTGACCATATTGATTTGCAGCCAGACTAGATATCTAGACTATGTCACAACTGAACTGTTAGTTTCCCCAATATTAAAAAAATTGCAGATTTATAACCTAGAAATTTAGAGGTGTCAAGCTTAGTGCCTGCCAGTGGACCACAAATCTCCCAAAGCTGAACTAGATTAAAATGCAATTAGGAAATGTCTAACAAAATAAATAAAAATACCATACAACATAAATAATGTTAATTTGTGGTTTTCTGAGTCAGTACTTGGCCCTTTTTTAATTTGAGTTTGACAACATTGATCTAGATAGCCACCCAATTGATTTGATTCCTTAGTCATAGTGGACAGGCCATACCCTCCAAACTCACTAGTTTTTCCATCACTCTTGTAAATGATAGGTACCAAATAAATGTTAACTGAATTGAATTGGACTCTCTCCCTGGTCTTGTTTCTGTTGTTTAGACTACTTAGGTTCATGAAGTCTAAATGCTTAATAAATATTTACTCTGCTTGGCATTTTCCCAGCCTTGTATATATGAGGAAGCAAAATTGTTTGGGACTTTACCATTTGAGGGCAGGCTTACCTATCTTTGTCATAGTCTTCCCTATTCTGGGAATAATAACATACTGAACCTGATTCAGTAAGCAGAACTGTGAAAACACCATCACAATAGTTTCAACGAGGTAAATGGAAAGAACAGCCAAAAACAATCAAAACTGAATGCTGTCAAATTGTAATGAGCAAGTTTGGTCCCAAGGAAAAGATGGGAGACTGCACCTCTCTCCCTTCTTCGCAAAGAGAGAGGGCCAGTGTGTGTGAAACATTGCGTGTGATATCAGACTGTTATGATGTATTGGTTAGTTTTGCTGAGATGTGGTTTTTTCCTCTCTTTTCTTCTTCATTTTTATAACAAAGATATTATATAACATTTTTAACATGTTTTTATAACAAAGATGACTGGAGTGGTGAAGAAGGTAGATTAAGAAACATAAGCAATGGTAAAACAAGATAACAGTAACATTTGTTAGAGATGATGAATCTTCAGTCATATCATGGCCACCTTCTTTCACAGCTATACACTATTCAGGAAGAGACTTTCCATACTAGGGGGACAAATTTGCCTCCCCCAATATACATATGCATCTAAGCTGCTCATCTACTTCTGCTTGAGAAGCATGTTCTCTGTTCATTTTGCTTGTAATTAAGGTTGACTCTTGTTTTCATTACTTCATGCACTCCCTACCTTAGCCATATGGTGAAGGACACAATAGGTTTCCTATGATTGTGACGGGACAGAATCATTCAATATCCATCATAATTCTAAACCAAAAAGGAAGGCAAAACCTCTCAGATTGTTTTCTGTTGCTCAAAAAGGGTAGGATGATATTCCTTCTACTGGGGATGGAATCTATCCTACAGGAGGCTACTATTGAATATTGAACTACTTTCTGCTCAGAAGCAAGTGTCTGTTCATTGATCTCTGTTTCTTATGTATACTGGTTTTGTGTGAAAGAGTATGTATAAAATACTGTGCTGTTTCTCTATAGCTAACAGATATTCTTCCATTCTTCTAATGTGATATTCTTAGAAGAGGTCATTTCCGTGAACAGTAGATGATCTCCACTAAAATATACAAAGCAGTGGATGAATGTGTCAGAAAAAAAAAGCATGGTATGGTGGCCAGAAGAGTACTGTTCTTGAAGCCAGGACTGGATTTAATTCCAATTCTTTCACTTAATAGTTTAGATAATCATGGGCAAATCATTCTTTGGTTTGCTTTCTCGTCTATAAAACAAATATAATAATACCTGCCATACTTATCTCACAGGGTCATTGTGGGGTTAAAATGATGGTAATGTGAATAGACCAAAAAGGGCTTTGCAAGTATAAGATATTGGTATAACAAAGTATTGAGTGAATAACAAAGTATTGAGTGACCTAGGAGTCAACAGCCCTGAGTTCTAACTCAGACTCTTGTCTCTAACTAGCTGTGGGCCTTTGAGTAAGTCATTTAACCTTTGACAGCCTCAGTTTCCTCAACTGTACAATAAGAGAATTGAATTCTGAGCTTAAATTGGCCCATTCCTATCTGATTCTAGTATATAAGGTAGTATGATGTTTTGAATAGAACCCCAAACTAGGAGTCAGGAAGACCTGAGTCTGAGGCTAGCCTCAGGTATGATATACCAAGATAATGGACATAATGTCCTTTATTATTATCATATAGTTGCTCTCATTTTAAAAAAGAAATTCTACATTTCTAAGTGTTCAATTATACAATCATAGACTCCAGGCCCAGAAAAAGCCTCCATTTAACAGGTAGAGAAACTAAGACCCAGAATTTCATGACTTTCTTAAGGTCATCCTGCTAATTAATGGCAGACCCAGGCCTAGAACTGTGGTTTCTTGACTGTCAATCCAGTTCTCATTCTACACCATTCTATCTCATTTCTATATAAGTAAAATGATATTTTGCTATCTCCCTTCCCCAGGCTGATGTCATTTAACTTCATTAAACTGAGTACTTTCCCATTACTTTGCTATTTATTGGGTCTGTCTTTATTTCCATGGATTATTTTAGTATCACTCCACTCCCTTCCAGCCTGTAAAGCCTCCTGGGCTCTTAAGGCACTATTTAAGTACCTCTTCCATGAATCCTTTGGATTATTGGAATGCACATTCCCTTTCTTCTGCTGCAGCCTTCAAATATTTGTTGCATTTTCTCTAGGCCTATTCAGATGACTCTTGCTCTGACCTGGAGCAAAGTAGGCCAGGGAACGCTGTTGATGGGATTGAAAGTTTCCAGTGTTCTCTTGCTTACTTTCTACCACTTGTCACTTGAAGAAATCAAGTGACACATTATTCTGTGAGTATAGTACCCAAGATACAATGCCATGTTCCAAACCACACTTAGCAAATGTCAGTTTGTTCTAAAAATACCCCATCTTTGCTGGTGGATTTAGTACAAGGCTCGTTTAATTATGCAAACAGATATTTTGAAAGTCTGTTCAAGGTTTGTTAGATGTGTCTTCTTTTGTGGCCCTTATATGCTTTTGCCTCTAAGTTTTTCTTTAACTTTGTGTACCATGGTAATCCTTTGACTCCAGATCATTTGGGTCTAATTCCATTTTATTTTCATTATAACCTGTTTTTCCTCTCTTGTCCACCTGATGATTTTGACTTGTTTGTCTGTATATAGCTATAGATATAGATGCTACTGGCTTAGAAGCAGAAGAAAATGATATTCCAGCCAACCACCGCTCCCCTAAGCCCAGTGCAAACAGTGTAACATCACCCCACTCCAAAGAGAAAAGAATGCCCTTCTTTAAGAAGGTAACATTGAACTTCTGAGCTCCTCTCTGTCCACCCGCTCAGCCGCCACCACGCCACGTTTCTAGTCCTGTTGACTGTCTGTGTCCTCTTCCAAGCCAATAACACGCATGCTCTGTTATTCTTTATTTCTTTTCCATGCCGCTGTAGCTAAGCAGAAACAGAAATCGGTAAGTTTACATTGACATAAGCTATGTTTATCCTGCCACTGGCATCATTAGCATTAATCGCCACAATTTTATTAAGTACAATCATTCTAGTACTAAGAAAGGGAACTATCAAGCAGTGAATTGAGTCCGTGCATTTAAAACCAACTAAGTTCAATGAGTGACTCAGTGAAGCACCATTACAGTACTTATCCTTTTTGATGGAATAATAGACCACCAAAGGAAATGATTGAAACATCCAGGGACATCAAACACTGACAAGTCCACATAATGCACCTCTATAGTGCATGCTTATTCTGTCTGTCTTTGTCTCTTTCTTTTTTTTTTCCAGATTTTTAACATAATCAAGCATATTAAAACAATGATTAGAATCTAATTTGTGATATCCAGATACATAGCTTGTACTAAAAAAAAAAAGCCTTCGATTTTTAATTTAGTCAGTATTTAAACTTCTAATCCACTAGGTGCAAAATCTGCAGATGAACAAGACCAGTGGAAAACTGCAGGCTTGTTTTGGCGGTTTACTGTGAGTTTTTCCTATTGTCATATATAAATTCTCTCCCAATGTTCTTGCCTCTTCCATCAGTCAGATTGCAGCATCCCATCTATTGGACACTGGGTCTAGCAGTCTCCTTGTGAGCTTTTACCACTGGCCAACCAAGGTGTCAAAGATTGATGCGATTGTCTCTGCTGACTGGTATTTTCTCAGAACCCTTCATTTCAGACGAGAGTCCACTTCCTGTCAGTAGGTTTTGCAGCTTCTGAGAGAGGCTGCCTACTTCTCCCTTTTTTTAGGAATCCCCTAATTCCCATTCCTTCCCTTCTTTTACACACCACCATCTGTCCTCACTGTGATAAATATGACAGTGTTACCAAGGCTGGCAGAAACAGTGGGTGAATTCCAGCACAGGAGTGTGCAGTAAATAAATTCTCCTCTGTTCACCCTCCTCCCCCAACCTTCTCAGAAGGTTGGATTCTTCTTCTCTGGGAATGGGTCTTCTGCCTTGTGCATCCAGAGCTCATATGTAATTTATATGGTGCTAGGTACTGAACTGCAAGGGCGTTTTTTGTTTATTTTTGATACAATTGCTAGTGAATTACTGAAGAGGAGAACCATAATCCAAAAAAAAAAAAAAGTGCTTAAATTAAAGCACCTGGATCTCTGTTATTAAGACCATCAGTAATCTAAAAAGAGAAATTACAATACACGAATGATCTGATCCCTTATCACAGAGATTCAAAGAGAAAAGTGGTCAAGTCTTTGTGGTCTCATGTTGGCATCCCTTCTGAAGCTTGGATATTGGATTCAGTGGCCTCTTAGGTCCCTCCCATTCCAGTGGTCCAGCCTTGATCTTCACCTCATAACCCGCAGCTAATAGATTAGAACAAGTGATCAAATGATAACCAGAGCTTCTGGTCATATTGCTTGATCTATCCTTGAAGTTCTCCATACCTCTAAATATATCCCAAAACTTTTTTTAAAAGATTATTTCATCACTGTTTTTGCCAGTGAAGAATGTATAACAAAAGAGAGATAACAGGAAAAGGCAGCTGAAAATCCATTGGTTTATTTTAAGGTTAGAGCTCAAAGTGCCACTATTCCATCAAATAAGGTAATTTCTGTATCTACCATAATTATTTATTAAGTAGCTGGTTGAAGACTAGCAATGGGTAGCCCTTTGCTGGTTGACAGTCACAAAACCAAAAAAAAAAAGAAGAAGAAGCAAAGATTTATTGCATCAGACACTGACCCTCTATTAATTACAGACTTAGAATTTCTTTGGGCTGTTACTTAAATGCATGCATCAAACTATTTACATTCCTGGTCTCAAAGGTAGAAACAATCTCCTGATGCTGCAGAGTTAAAAGGACATGGCTTCCAAACATTTTGAGCCTGCGCCTGCATTATATAAATAAGTTCATTTATATGCTTATGATGCCTTGGGCACTGGTACTCATTCTTCTTATGTTATCAGTTATGTGATGAACTTTTATGTAGCACTGCAGAAAAAGAGAGAGATTTGGCCGCGAGGTTGTTTTCCACGTCTTAGATGGCTTTAGGTTGGTGCTTGTGTGGCATTCTGTGCTGTCACTGTATTCATGTTTGTCTTGGTTTTTTACTTCGTGTATAAGATGTTGTTTACCTTGTTATGTCTCTTTAAATTTACCTGGAAACTCGTTAAACATTGAAACAGTGAAAAATGACAGCACAGTACACAGATTGCGTTCCCGCTTCACTGGAATATGTATGCTGCGGTGACTTTTTCCAGATTGGTGCTTTTGTTTTGAAGGTGCTTTTTAAAATTTCTAAAACAAACTTCAGGAACCAGAAATATAAATGAAAATAATTTATAATAAGACAAAATACATTATTTTTAGTAAGCCAAAAAAAAACTCCTTAAGAAACTGTGATACAAAAATAAATTCATAAATCTTCCGTATTTGAGGGTTAATGTATAAAATACCCAGAATAATTTAAAAGACATTTCATTTTTGTCCATATCTTTTTTAAAAATTAATTATTTGAATCCAACAAGCATCCTAATATTGCAAGGATGTAATGACAAAATGAAAAACCGTCCCTGCCCTCAAGCCGCTTACATCCTACTTAAGGAGTGTAATATGAAAACAGATAAGTATTTACATGAAATTTTGAGAGCGTGAATAGTAACTGAAGGAATAAGGAAAAGCTTCCAATAGGATATGGCACATGAGCTTGAAGGAATCTAGAGATTAGAATTAATTTTCTTTTATTAATTTATTTAGAAGAATTCACAAATCAGTGGATGCTTCAATTAAGAAACCTTAACAGGATCTTTTTGGCATCGGAGGCTGCGTTTATTGGCTCTAAATAAAACTACCCAATCCTTGACCAATTTTATGTCTTCTGTTATAGAAATATCTCTCTGACATAAAGTTAATGGCATTACCCATTATCTACTGACTCTTTCCTTCATCTTGAATCTATTGCCAGTGATCCGCTTGATTTTTGTAACTGACTATCTCCGTAACTCTCCATTACTACCCCCAATTTTTTTTCTTAGCTGCAGAGAGAGTTTGAGTGAGCCACATAATATAGACATGCCTTAAATTCAGCTGCAGCATGTAAACATGGATTAGAAATGCAGCATAATGCCATGGAGAAAGCATTGTCTCCAGAGGCAGAGGACCTAGGTTTATGGCCTACCCCAGATGCTTAATAACAATTGACCCTGGATGAGTCCCTTAACTTCTCTGAGCCCCAGTTTCCTCCTCTACTTCTGTGATCCTGTGGTTATAACTCCTTCCCTTGTAGTATGTTAGGTACATAAAGAGATTATAATTTTGTTTAGTTTATGAAAGTATCACTGAGTGCATGAAATCAGAAATGAACTCAGTGGTTCCACCCTTTGATTTTGAATTTTTAGCTTGCTAATATTTTTTTAAGCCTATACACATTATACATAAAAAGCATGACTATACGACTAGTATTTATTTATTAGAAATGACATCTGGGTGGATTGGCTTCTGCATGGAAGTAGAAGGGAGGCAGTGTTGTATAGTGGTTAGAGAGCTGGTGTTAGAACTAGATAGAGCTGGATTGGAATCTTGCCTCTACCACAGTCTAGCTGTGAGAGCCTGAGCAAGTTACACCCTCTTAGCTCTCTGGGCAATTCTTGGAGACCATAAGTTGCAGAGAAGACACCAGCTTACATGAGCAGAGAAAGCTTCCTCATTCAAGAGTTCCTGATAGCAATGAAGTCACAGGACCGGTCCCTTATCCCTATTCTTATACAAGTAACAGACAATAAAATAGATATTTATATTGGTTTTAAAAGGAATTTGTAGTTTATTTCTCCCCTCATAGATGAAGCCACTACTTAAGACAAAAGACTTTAAAATCTTTTTCATCCCTACTTTATTGAGCCATATTGGTCCCAGTAGTCTGGACTATTTCTGTTTTTAATACAATCCTACTCACCGCCATTGCCTTACAGACAATCCACAAAGATCTCTTAAGCCCATCCATCCCGAGGCATGTTCCCATGCTTTCTTGCAGTCTTTCTACCATGTCACCTGGTTCTGTCAGAAGCAGCACCTTCTTCTAGATGAGCTTGCCTATGAAGAAGTCAGATTACCATGTCTGGAGAGAGGCAAGGGAATCCTGATGGTTTCAAGCATAGGAAAACTTCAGAAAATAAACTCACACCTTGGGCTGAGTTTATTTTTATAACAGAGGCAAAAAAAAAATCTGGAACACTAGCACCTCTTAATATTCCTATTGATTGAATCCCCTGGGAAGTGAGTTAGTGACTTGTAGATGAATTGTAAGCATCCTATCTTCCTGCTAAGGTTCTGAAAGCCTCTTCTGTCTCTGCAGACAGAGCACATTCCTCCTTACGATGTGGTGCCTTCTATGCGACCGGTAGTGTTAGTGGGGCCTTCTCTGAAGGGCTATGAGGTAAGTAGCTTCCCCCTCTCTCTTTTTTTTTAAATTTATGGAATAAAACAAGCATTTCCATAACATAATATAATAATAATAATAAAAAAAGACAATTGCTTATGAAACTGCAAAAATGTACAACTTGCTATTCCTTTTAAATATGTAACGTTATCATGTAAATTGTTTTCCTTTCTTCCCTTTCCTTCTCCTCACCCTAGAAATGGCTGTCATTAGACATTAGCTTCTCTTGAGTAGTCTCTTGCAGCAAGTAGAATTAATCTTCTACTCAGGCCCCGCCTCCCAATTTGTGAACTTAGATGAACCTGCACTAGTAACCAAATTACTTTAAACTGTTGACTTATGTTGACAAGTATTTGGGGAGGTGGGGTAGCGGGGCTGCTACTTGGGAAAACTTGGTTATTGGCCAAGTGTATTCAGTCAGAAACAAAATTGATGGTAACATCAAATGGAGAGTGATTACAACAGTTCTTGGTATAAGAACCATTTGCAGGAGTTAGAAATGTTTAGTATGGAGAAGACTTGGGGAGAACGTGAATGATCCACTAGTTCTCCTTAAATATCCAACAGGCAGTCAGATGGAAGATGATTTAAAATTTTTGCTTGATTTGCCCTCAAGAAAGAAGAACTAGGGCTAATAGATAGAAATATCAGAGACAGATTTTGCTTTATTATAAGGAAAACTTCTTATAGCTATAATGATGAAAGAGCAGAAAAGATTTCCTGTGGAGATAATGAATTTCTTGTTGCTGGCAATCTTCAATCAAAGGCTGTATTAGCACTCAGAATACTCTAGACTCTACTTGTATAGGTTGGTTCTTCTGGAAAAGGTTGGACTCATTGGCTTCTGAGGTTCCTTCTTATTCTGATATCCTCTGGTTCTGTGAATCTAATGTAAATAAACTATTTATAGTAAATAAGGGTAAAAAGAGGAGACTAGAAACTGCTTTTATTGTTTTTATCAAAAATCAGAAATGGAAAATGATAACCTTCAAATTATGCCATTTTTTCCAAACATGAATCCCACATCTATCATTCTTAATAAAAAAAATTTTTTTTAGCACAACAAGTCATGTTTGTCATACCTTCATTTGTTGCTTTGCTTATTTTTAGGTGACAGATATGATGCAGAAAGCACTGTTTGATTTTTTAAAACACAGATTTGAAGGGCGGTAAGTATATCAGCATGCTTTTTATTTTCTTATTTGTTTCATCTTTGAATTTGTAGCCAAGTAGAATCCCAGGGGTAGATGCACAGGTTACCGTGATGAGGCTCAAGGTGTGTGTAAAACTGTCTTCTGGAAGCCTAACAGGTTTCAGGATGTAGCCTTCCTCAGTAGAGAATGTCGTCCACCCAGTTGCCAAATGAATGTTCCTATAGTACAGATCTGACCATGTCACCTCCCTATTCAGTAGACTCCAGTGGTTCCCTTTACCAGCAGGATCAAATAAAAAAACAATCCTTTGGTTGGCATTCAAAGCCCCTCACAGCCTGAGCCCCTCCTACCCTTCCAGTTTTCTTATACCTTACTCCCATCCACATACTCCACCATCCAGTGACGTTGGTCTCTGCTGTTTCTCTCATAAGAAACGCTGTCTCCTGACTCTGGGCATTTTCACTGACAGTCCCTCATGCCTAGAATCCTCTCCCTCCCCTTTTCTACCTCTTGGTTTCCTTCAAGTCCCAGCTAAAAATCCCCGTGTTCTACACCAGAGGTGTCAAATCCATGGCCCACTCCCTGGTGCAATCCTGAGCCAGATTAAAATGTAATTGGGAAATATTTAACAGAATCAATAAAAACACAATAAAACATGTTCTCTTTCACAACATGTCTGTTATGAATATGTTTTGTATGACCGCACATATATAACCTATATTGAATTGCTTGCCTTCTCAATGGTGGGAAGAAGGGAGAGAATTTGGAACTCAAAGTTTTAAACATGAATGTTAAAAATTGTTTTACATGTAACTAGGGACAAAGATAAAATATTTTAAAAATTAAAAAAAAGAAAAAATCATAGTAAAACATAATGTTAATATAGCTTTTTCTAAGTCAATATACAGCAGCAGGGATCCTTATATACAGTTCAATGGCTCCTGTTTCTATTTGAGTTTGACACCACTGTTTTGCAAGAAACCTTTCCTGATGCCCCTTAATGGTTATACCTTTCCTCTATTGATTATCTTCAATTTATCCTGTATATGTCTTATTTATACATAGTTGTTTTCATGTGAGCCTAGACCTAGATTGTAAGCTATTTGAAAGCAAGTACTATCTTTTATCTTTCTTTGTATTCCCAGAGTTTAGCTCAGTGCCTGGTGCATAGTAGGCACTTAATAAATGCTTAGTGATTCAGCACCTCTATCAGTCAATCCACAAACTTCCATGTAGAGCACAGTGCTAGGCACCAGAGAAGGTAAGTAGTTTAGGGAAGGTTATAATTTCACCAGACATAGTTTTGTGAGGAGGAGCTGCCCGTTCTCAACTCTTAATGGAATAATAGCTACAGAGGAAGCAATGAAGTATTGTGAAGGTGTGAAGGTGTGAAGGCTTTGAAATCTGAGTATCAGTGCTGGCTGATAGACCTGCTCATTGTGTGACCCTGCCTGGGTAAATCCTTTAACCTCTCTGATCCAGTCTCTCTCTTCATCTGGAAAATGCAAAGAATAATACTTGTTTTACCTGCTGCGAGGGGTTGTTAGGAGGAAAAGAGCTTTATCAACCTTAAAAGAACCCCATCAAAATGAGGTGTTATTATGATAGAAGTCCCCAATGCTCTTCCTATTTCTCTTTTATCACCGGAGCAGGAGGAAAGTCATCAAATGTACACTTTGAATTTAGAACAGTAGGATGGGAAGACGGAGCCTAGCAATGTCAGGATCATTTCTCTGCATTTTCACTGTGGAAATGTATCGTCCCTCTTCTCTACATCTTTGCCTCCTCCTCCCCAGCCATCGTCAGAGAAGATCTAGGACCAGATTGTCAGATTAGCTGTACCAGTAGGGTTCAGGAGTTCCATGTGGCATTCTTCATATGATAATTTATTCCTTTTATTCCAGGAGTGGGAAACCTGCAGCCTCGAGGCCACGTGTGGCCCTCTAGGTCCTCAAGTGTGGCTCTTTGACTGAATCCACACTTGAGGACCTAGAAGGCCACATGTGACCTCAAGGCCACAGGCTCCCCACCCCTGTATAATTATACATTTTAGTCTGCCATTTTAAAATAGGGTAGAATTAAAGCTTTTTCCCCCACACAATTCCAAAATTAGGGAGTAGCAGAGAATGAAGCTTTTCAACACAGTTCAAGAAAGAGACACACTCAGAAAAGTAATAGATGTATTTTTCAAGGGAAAAATTAAAATAGATGTTTATCAGCCAGGTCTGCCTTTCCTTACTCTTCTAATTTTAATTTTCCGTAATTTCATGAAATGATTTATTACATGCTAGGCCAAGAGCCATTGCCTCTGGCATTGTGGAGGCCTGGCAAAGACTAAGAGGTGTGCCTCTAATCTGCCTTGTTAGAATAAATCAACATGCTTTTATTCATTCCCTGGCTCTTGTCTCTTAGTGCAGTTTGGAACAGTCTGCATGAGCAATCTCTGAATACAGTATGTCCTCCCAGAGAAGCTTTGATGCTCTTTTATGCATTAATAAATCCATTGCTGCTTCTTCAACAATTAAAGCTATATCGAAAGGAGGGACAGAAAGAGAAGGAACGGGATCATTCTGATTCAGCTCTCATCTTTAGGAAAATGTAACCTTTCCTTAGACCTGGACAGGCCATGAATTTGGAAGGGGAAATCTAAGTCAAAGGTTGTGTCTTGGCTCTATATGCCAGGGTATCAGCCAACTTGATTGTTTTCATTAAGAGAAAAATGAAATAGCAATGGCAGAAGATTAGCTAACAAACCATTGCTGCTGACTTTGAAGAAATAACCTGTGTTCTCATCAGTGAGACTACCTTGGCTTATCCCCATCCTTGGAACTAGAGTTGTATTTTCAAGGTACCCAGTCACTTATTCTAAAGCCTGAGACCTGTAGGACTTGATCAGCAGGGATTCGTTAAGCATTTACTGTGGGTCAGGCACTATACAGGAGCCAAAAAGACACAAGTGAGTCAGTATCTGCCTGGGAGGACCTTAATGAAGAACACAGCACATACACATATGAGTATAATCAGAATATATAATGGAGACAAGGTAATTTTGAGAGGGAGAAATCTTTATATCAGTAAGGGTTTCATGAAGAAAGTGACACAAGGATTTAAAGAAATTCCAAGAAATGAAAGTGAGGAAGGAGTGCATTCCAGGCATGGAGAAGAAATGTCTAAGGGATGGTGAGAAAATGCATGTGAAAGTGGCAGTGTCAAGAAGTATTCCAATTTCTGTGACTAATTCCACTGTGACTAATGAATCTTAAGGGTATAAGAAAAGGTGTGAGCAATACTGGAAAGGTAAAGGTATTGCAATACAGTGTCATCTGGGTGGAACTATGTATCAGGGAACACCAGAAAATAGAAGGAGAATGCTGAAGTGAGATGATGTTTCTTAATTAATAGAATAGGAGATGGCAGAGACCACAATAAAAGAATCAGATGGCTCTGGAGAGAGACATGGGATTTTGAAGTCATTTTTGGTGTGGTCCATAAGGAAAAGAGAATTGGCAGTAAGGGTTAGAGAGGAGGGTCTGTCTCTTCAGTAGCCCATGATTCAGTGTCACAGGAATGAGGAACAGGTGAGAGTTTGCTAACCATTGGGCAACACATCCCAGAAGAGTGACAGGCATTGGAAAGAGTTCCATTGATGAAAATAAGTGAGAAAGATGTTCTCCTTATGATCCCTCCTCGTGAGTCCCCAGTCTTAATGCACTACTTATTTCCAAGCCTAATGCAATTTTTTCACCATATATATGTTTCACGTATTAAATCTTTGGATGTTTAGGCTAGAGGAGAGCATATCAAGATATGAATTCTTTACTCTTTGGCATCATGCCCCAGGTGGCTTATTTAAAAATGAATCTACCCTAATTCTTATATGTAAAAAGAGCTTTTAAAAATATCACCTTGCAGAAAGCAGATAGTAGAAGAATAAAACAGGCAAACCTGCTCTAATAGGCAAAACTAACATCTGTGACTAATTAAATCCCCCAGTCTAGTGATTCTGAAGGTTTCAATAATCTACAGTGAAATCTTTGGAATGTGCATTGAAGTGTAAGAATGTGCACAGTAACCCAGATTCCTTCTAGGCCATGTGTGAGGAGGTGATTTTGAAAGTCAACAAACCAGGGAAATAGATGCTATTCCATTAATGCAAGCTAGCTTTGAGTATACTTAGTTGGAAGGATGGCATTGAAGCCCCAAAGGAGCAACTGCTGGCATTTCTGAGGCAACACAAAGCAGTATGTCCCAAGTCTGCTGCCCAGAGAGTCCCTTGGCTATGTGCTTTCTCCACAGCAGAGGCTCAGGGCTGACAGGGGAGATTATCTACAAGCAGCTTTTATCTAATCAACAATATAATCTCCCTCTGGAGTGTTCCTGAGAGGGTGTGATACAGGTTACACAGGATGACAAAGCATGACTGGGTTGTGAGCTGTATCTTTGAAGGGAGTTACCCACATTGATCAGAGCACAAATGCAGTGACACAGCAAAGAATAGTTTAAGCCCCGAGAACAATGGTTATTATGAATTTTCTTTGTCCATAGTCTTTGTCCATTCAGCAGAATCCACTCAAATACTGAGTATTAAGCCCACCGCTCTGGTACAGGCCCTCATTACCTCATGCATTGATTATGGCAATAGCCTACTGGTAGATCTGTCTGCCTCAAGTCTCTCTCCACCCTAGCCCATCCTCCATTTGGCCATTAAAGTGATGTTCCTAAAGTACAAGTCCAACCTCCTCAGCAAACTCCGATGGCTTCCTATCACCTCCAGAATCAAATACAAAACACTTTATTTGGTATTCATAGCCCTTCATAAATTGGAGAACTCCTACCTTTCTGGTCTTCTTACACCTTACTCTCTGTCACATACTCCAATCCAGTGACACTGACCTCCTTACTCTTCCACGGACAAGACACCGCATCTCTTGGCTCTAGCCATTTTCTCTGACTGTCCCCCTTGTCTTCTCTGCCTACTGGCTTCCCTGGCTTCCTTGAAGTCCCAACTAAAATCCTGTCTTCTACAGGAAGCCTTTGCCAACCCCTCTTAATTCTAGTGCCTTCCCTCTTTATATCCTGTTTGTCCTATATATAGCTTGATTGTACATTTTGGTTTCCTTGTAATTTCCCTCATTAGATTGTGAGTTTCTTGAGGTCAGGGACTGTGTTTTGCCTCTTTGTGTGTCTCCAGCACTTAACGATGCCTAGCATATAGTAGTTGCTTAATAAATGTTTATTGATTGTGTACCCCTTTTTGTACTATTTTAAGACATCTTTAAAGCCTTCATTTGTAGCATGAAAAGTCAGCATACATCATGAGACATGCCCTACAAGTGGTAACAAATTTCCTGGGCCCAGGATCCAGAGATCTAAAGTTCCAAACCATCCAAGCTGTGATGATGTTTTTCAGTTGAGCTTGTCATGCATTCTCCCCTTTGTGTATTACATGCCACATGCTCTGTTACCTGAGTTAATTTTAACTGTCCTTTTTTTTTTTCCACTCACTTTCCAGAAGCCTGAGTCTAATGATATTTTTTTTTGTACAGGATATCTATCACAAGGGTCACAGCTGACATCTCGCTTGCCAAACGCTCAGTGTTAAACAATCCTAGCAAGCATGCGATAATAGAACGCTCCAACACAAGGTCAAGCTTAGGTAAGTTTGTACAACCCTGATAAACCTTTTCTCTTCAAACAAGAATATCAAACACTCTTCAGTTTGATGATGGCAAAGATCTACCTAAATCATGCCGGTTGTCCTGGGACTCACATGTTACCAGGCGACAGAGAGGCAGACATGGTGGTTTCTCCTTATAAAAATCCTCCATTTTGAATTTAATGTAAGAATTTAGGTTTCTTTAGCAATCTGAAGTTAACAGAGTGCTTCCTTTCCATGAACTCTATTTGGTGGTGGCTCAGATATTATCATCCCTAATTTACAGATGAGGAAGCCGAGACATTTAGCGACTTACCCAGAAATTCACACTAGGAAGTCTGTGAGGGGTAAGTCATGTCTGTTAAGTACTGACCCAGTTTGGAAATAGACTATATCTCCCATTTTCTCAAAGAGCATGACCAAGTCCTCAGCCCCACAAAAGATTTCCTTTCATGTATGGAGATATCCAGGCACTGAACAATGACATTGGGTCCTCACTTAATAAATCCATCAGTGTTAAGTGGGATGGGATGGTTTTAACCCCATCCTTATACTGTGCCCCCAATTTAAATGTTTGCTCAGCAAATCTACTAGAGTGTGTTTGGAAATTCCATAGTCCCAGATCTTGGACAGCTCTTTTGTGACCCAGGAAAGCTCCGCATTATTTTTTTTTTAATGCTTTCCCCAGTGTCTTGTACTAAAGAGCCTCAGGAAAAGTCTTCCTGGTACAGTTTCTAATTAAATATGATAGCATTCTTCCGTACTTCCAAATACTTAGTGATACAATTTAACAAACCAATACCATTTGACAAAGTTCCTCATAGGTTAATGCCTTGCTTGTTGCTTAAAAAAAAAAAAAAAGTGCCTTCCCCATCCCAAAAAGAATAAAGAAAGAAAGAAAAGAAAAGAAAAGCAATTCTCTGTTCTCAAAGAGGAAGCATGGGCCTTTAGAGAGTTACCTGAGCATGTAGGGATCTACCTGCTAGGGTTACAAAGCTGGGGTTGACTGGAAGTCACCCCCTCACCCTAACCAAACCAATTTGATTGGATGCTTTGGCAGCCACATTAATCAACTGGCTCTAGAAGAGCTGACTTTTTTGTTCTCTCCCTGTCCCTCTCCCATAAAGGGGCCCTTCTAGTCTCGTCTCATTTGGGAAACTAAATACTATAATAATATCAGCACTATCTGAGATTAATCACTTACCAACTTATAAAGCAAAGAAAATTAAAAACGCATGTTAAAAATCAAAATAAATAAATAAATAAATAAATAAATAACTATTTTAAAAAATAAAATAAAGCAAAGAAAATTAAACTTCCTTTCTCAGAAGGAAAAGCCTCTGCCTAGAGAGATTCCAAAGCACATCAAGCTCTCATTATAGGGATTAGGAACCTGGATTCACCTGGAAGTTCTCACCTTATCCGTAAGTGAAAAAACAAACTCTCAGTGAAAACTCTTCCATGATTCCCTCAATGCAAAGACAACCAAATGAGGTCTGGACAAAATTTGTACATGTCCCTCTCTATACTGGGCACATCAAAATGTCTCCAAGGGACCATGTACCATGTGTTTGGAGGTCCAAGAAAATTTTCCCTGGATCCCTATACTAAAAGGTACTCCAAAATTTTCCAATGGATCCCTATGATTTCAAGGGAAATCCAAATGGAGTTTCAGACTTTCACTTCACTAGGACAAGTAGATTAACTTAAAGAAGACATACTTAGAATAGCCCTCAAAGAAGTATGGGGCTCCCAGGAAAGGTTGGTTTCTTGACGTTTATAGGCCAGCAGGCAAACCTTATCTAATATATCTGCAATATTTTAGGATTTCACAATAAGGTAAGCAGTCTAAGTCTGCTTAAAATCTGAAGAAAAATATGAACATTTATCAGCTAGGGTTCAGCATTTTAGGAATACAGAATCCATACTTCTCATATCAGCAGCAATACTTGTACTGGGCAATACTGTAGATATTGATATATAAATATTCAACAAACAAAAGTCATTATCAAAAACTGATCTGACTTTTAAGGAAACACCAAAAACAAACAAACAAACAAATACCCTACTTAACAATCGAAGTTTAAAACAAAACAGAGGAAGTATACTAATTTTTCTCTAACATATCCTAAAACTAATGAAATCGATAAGAGGCCCAGGTAGAAAAATCTCTCTAGTGGGTGCCTGCAAATGCAGAGAACTCAATGTTTATCCCAGATGAGGCCCCTATCCCAACTTTTACTTATCCTTACATTCCCTTATATTGGATATACTTTCTAATTAAATCCCAGTCAGTTTTGTTTAAATAAAAAATTTTATAATGATATTGAGGCAAGAGCTTAATTAATTGGTCCAATGGGGGAAAAAAATGTTGGCCTCAGAGTTAGGATCTTTAAAGAAAGAGTTTTGATCCTGCCTCTTCCTACCTATGTGACTTTGGGGGAGTCACCCACAACTCTGGGTCTCGGCTTTCTCATCCACAAAACAAGAAGGTTGGACTTCATGATCTCTAAGTAAAGCCTTCTGATTTTAAATTCTAGATGGCTGGATCCTTGTAATTATTTTTTAATCTTTTCATCTCTAGCACTTAGTGGGTGCCACCTTGCACATAGTAGGTGTTCGGTAGATAATTCAATTGCATCAACATCTTTAACTTTGACTTCATCAACAGGATACTTTATCCAGTGAGGTGGTTTACCCAGATAAATTCTCCAGCTAGAGTGTTGATAGCAACATAATGCAGCTGACAGTTGTACTCGCTTCGCAGATATTATTTTGAAACTATTCTTGGTACTAAATTAGGAATAGTATTACTAAAAGTAGTGTTTTAACGAATCATTGGCATGTTGTCTGTCATATAAACAGAAAGGGTGGACCAAGAAAAAGGGATAAGCACAAGGGATCACAGAATATAAAACTGGAAGGGACCTATAAAATTATAGTTGAAGTGCTTTATTTTACAGTTGAGGAAACTGTATCCCAGAGAGGTTAGATGATTTCCCCAAGGCCACGCAAATGATAAGAGTCAGAATTTGAACTCATATCTTGTGATTCCAGGGCTGTTGTCCTTTCCACTACACCAACCTGCAGCCAAAGAGCTGGGAGGATTTTGTTTGGGAAGCAGAAACGGGGAGAAGTTTAATGAAACCAAACCAGATAAAAATACCACAAGGGGAGTGGAAAGATATATAATATAATGGAACAAAAGAGCACTTGTCCACTCATCCACTTTCTCAAAAACATTGGTCTTACATACCCGAGCCATAATGAACATCCTGTCCCCAAATTAGTCAAATTTTGTGAGAATAAATGGGTCACATGACCTTAATCTCTTCTTAGCCACCACTTCTCTCCATATTGAACCTATGAATTGTAAGATTTATATAAAGGAAAGATTCCACCAAAGTTTTCAAAATAATCCATTCTCAGTAGTCTCTCTATACAGGAGATCTTTTGCATATTTCTGGGCTAATTTGACAGGTAAATCATACCTGGATTGTTAGTAAATATATTTTATATTTGGTAGTTCATAAACTAGTACAATGAAGTAGTATGGCATGGTAATGCTGGAATTAGAGTCAAAAAGACCTGAGTTCAAATCCTGTCTCAGATGCTTACTAGCTTTACAACCCTAGGTAAGTCATCTAACCTCTCTTGACCTCAGTTTACTTCCTCGTGAAGTGAGAGAGTTGGACACAATGATAGTTAAGATCCTTCCAACTCCAAATCAAGACACTTTTGGCTAAACATATGTTTGTAATGCACCTATGATTATATCAGTGTAAAAAACTTCTCACAAGGAACTTTCTTTACCAAGACAGATTGGCAACTGCTCAGTAATATATAGATTTGGAAAATTACTTGGGGCACTAAAGTTTATGTGACTTGCCCAGAGTTACACACACACACACACACACACACACAAAGAATGTGAGAATGTGTCAGAGAAGGGGCTTAAATCCAAGCCTTCTTCACTCCTCTAACAGCTGCCTACCTAGAATCCTATACCACTTCTCCATACGATATACTTTAAATTCTCCATCAGTAGCCCAAGAAATATGGCTTTGTAAATTATTTTCAGAATTATACCACCTCTTATAAGAGAATATAGTCCTGAATTGATAAAGTTTAGAATTTAAGCTTAAAAATGTTAATAGCAACTAGCACTTTTGAATTTGCATATATATGTATACATATATATCTCAAAGCAAAAACATAATGAATTAATAAAGTATAACTAGTTTGTATTTGTTATTAAATAACTTTTAGTTGTTTTGAGTAAATTCATTTAGTACTTTGTTAGTAGTTAGTATGTAGAATTTATTTAGCATATAATACTAAAAGTATGTAAAAACTTGGTATTAACTTAAAAAATGTGAATTCACATCATGTGAACTAGACCTTTCACAGGTTAAAACTACTTTTTTTAAAAAAAGAAGTTAAAATTGTTAAGACATGATAACATGAGTGAGGTGCATTGGGTTATGCCTTCCCAAGAAGATGAGACTTTATCTCTTGAGACAGTATATATGTCCTTTGGATTTATTTTTTGGATGTAAGGGCCACATATTAAAAGAGAAAAATGATCAGTGCCTAGTCAGGGATGGTAGACATATAACAAACACTGATAAAAATATATTTACTTGGAGTCATGCATATCTAATCAAAAGGACATTAAACTAAAAAGAAAACCAGGGAAAAAAATGGCCTGTTTATATCTACCCAGCTGGATGGATGGATGAATAAGTGAGTGAATGAATGGAAAAGCATTTGTTAAGCATTTACTATATGCCAAGCTTTGTGCTAAGTGCTAGGGATACAAAAACAAAAAACAGTCCCTGCCCTCAATGAGTTTACCTTCTAATGGACAGCACATAGAAGGCTGTCAAGGAAAGATTATTTTGGTCTGAGCATTTTCAGGGATGGTGAGTGAAACAGTAGGACAGTCAGTTGATGGCTCTTTCCAGAAGCAATGGTAGTGTTGATCTGATTACTGACAG